AAAAAAGCAGATTAGAAACCCAGTTACCTGTACACATGGTAAGGAAATCTGTGTTGTCCAGGAGGAATCTCCCTCGGGGAATCAAGTTTCTCTAATTCCCTGCTTCAGTTACAGGAACCAGGTTTCTCATTTACACAACACTTAAGACATCAGCTTACTGGAGAGAGCCAAGTGCAAGATGGTAATCTACTGTAAATCCAAGTACACACAGTCAGTGATGGAAGTGGAGAGTTGGTGTTAAGTCAGGTGTTAGGGTAGAGGAATGGGGCATGGATGCTCTGTTTGACTCCTTGATCTGCAGTTACCTGTGGATGAAGAGCTCTTGCACTGGCAGTGAGAGCTGAATAAGGGGATTGGGTAGAGACTGTATGGTAATAGTCTGTCTTGGCCTCTGAAGATGAGGGTGTCCCACACTCAGAATTAACAAGCCGGCTGTGCCTCCTCCACAGGTCTGTTTGTCTTGTCAGACTTTCCCAGTCAATCCCATCAATTCCAGTCTGGGTTCAAAATATAGAGAAAAAAATGTGTGTATGTAAAGTATGTATAAATCCAGTGCTACTTCAATCTAAAGACATGTAGCTTTGTGGCATTATTTTAAAAATAGCTGTCTCCATACGAGTCTTTAAAAGTGAGGGAGACTGAGATATGTTGGTTTTACTCACCAACAGGTCTATGAGCAGATGAGAGAGAATTCATTTCCAATCTTTCTGTACTGAGAAGAGTTTTTCATAGCCTGGAAAAATAGTTTAATAACATATAAAAAAAAGCCCTTTGTAGTGCCAGAACCACATTTTAGTCATCACTGATAGAGGAAAATAAGAGATCTCTCTGAGTTGACCTCAACAATTGCTTCATCTAAATCATCAACATGTCTCCTGGACCCCATCCCAACCAGGCTGCTCAAAGACGTTGTTCCCCTAATCAACACATCCATATTAGATCTGATTAACCTTTCTCTATTAACAGGTTATGTTCTATAGGCTTTTAAAGTTGCAGTAATTAAACCTCTACTCAAAAAACCTACTCTGACCCAGGTGTTCTAGCTAATTATAGACCAATATCCAATCTCCGGTTTATTTATAAGATTCTGGAAAAAGCTGTTGCAAAGCAGTTATGTGACCATTTGGACAAGAATGATTTGTTTGAGGATTTTCAGTCAGGATTTGGAGTCCATCATAGGACAGAAACTGCGTTGGTGAAAGTCACCAACAATCTAAAGGACTTCTCTCCATACTTGTCCTCTTAGATCTCAGTGCTGCTTTTGACACCATTATTGGGATTAAAAGAACTGCACTACATTGGTTCAAATCATATTTATCAGAAAGATTTCAGTTTGTTCATGTTAATGAGGAATCTTCCACACAAACTGAAGTTAGTCACGGCGTTCCACAGGGCTCTGTGTTAGGTCCAATTCTCTTCACTTTATACGTACATGCTCCCTTTAGGCAATATTATCAGGAAGCACAGCATAAATTTCCATTGCTATGCAGATGATACTCAGTTATATATGTCTATGAAGCCAAATGAATCAGATCAGCTGGTCAAACTTTAAGCATGTCTTAAAGACATAAGGACCTGGATGACCTGCAACTTCTTACTTCTAAACTCTGACAAAACTGAAGTTATTGTGCTTGGGCCTGAAAATGTTAGAAATCTGCTGTCTAATCATATAGTTACTTTAGATGACATAGCTCTTCTGAAAAACTGGTCCATGCATTTGTTACTTCCAGGCTGGACTACTGTAACTCTTTACTATCAGGATGTCCCAATAATTCCCTAAAAAGCCTCCAGTTAATCCAAAATGCTGCAGCCAGAGTACTGACAGGAACTAGCAAGAGAGATCATATCTCTCCCATATTAGCTTTTCTCCACTGGCTCCCTGTAAAATCCAGAATAGACTTTAAAATCCTTCTCCTAACATACAAAGCTCTTAATGACAAGGCTCCATCGTATCTCAAAGACCTCATAGAGCCTTATTATCCCAACAGAACACTTCACTCTCAGAGTGCAGGTTTACTTGTGGTTCCTAGAGTCCACAGAAGTAGAATGGGAGGCAGAGCCTTTAGCTATCAAACTGCTCTCCTATGGAACCAACTCCCGGTCTCAGTTCGGGAGGCAGACACCCTCTCTACCTTTAAGATTAGACTTATACTTAGGGCTGGATCAGGTGACCCTGAGCCTTCCCTTAGTTTTGCTGCTATAGGCCTAGGCTGCTGGGGGACCCCACAATGCTCTGAGTTTCTCTGTCTGTCGGAGGTTTCTTCTGTTAAAGGGAGCTTTTCCTCCCCACTGTCACCAAGTGCTTGCTCAAGGGGGATTTGTTGGGTTTTCCCTCTGTAATAATAGTGATAATAGTAACGTCTAGACCTTACTTTGTAAAGTGTCCTGAGATGACTTTTGTTGTGATTTGGCACTATACAAATAAAATTTGATTGAGTGTTACTAATCCTGCTAACGCTAATTCACTTTGATATTCTGAGGTCATTTACACTGTCTACTGGATATCTGATAAAGGATTGATATCAATTTTCATTATTCAGTGGGCTGACTGGTCCAGGATATGGTGGTGAAGGCAGTAGCTGCTACCAAAAGAGGATCATTTCAAAATTGTCTTATTTAAATTTTGTGTTGGCTGACATGTTAGACACAGGCGTGTGCACTGTACATTCAGAAGTCTTCCCTCTTAGGGTCTGAGGGTGTGTAACTGCACTTCGGAGGACAGAATGTCTGGAGAGCTTTGCATATTCATGAAGCTAAGCTAGCTACTGCATGGTCAGTAAATTGCTCCAAATTATAGAGCTGTTTGTACATTTTAAGTAGAAAAGATGTGGGTGTGGAGGATTTGGAGCTGTGTTAAGGCTCCTTTGATGAGCTCACAGCTGACTAACTAAAGTAAGTCTATCTATGTGAAACAGGCCTCTGTAGTCTCTGGTTTACAGAAAGAAAACAACCAAAAGGGTGTCTAACTTTATATTTGGATTTATGGTGCTCATCTTGGCTGGGTCTCCTCTGCATCCTCTCTCGGACGGGCTCAGAAACCCCCGGTTTGTTCCTGAGGTTGAGGGTCTGGGCTGACTGTCTGGGAGGCTGCTGGTCATTTTTGGCCTCAAGGACAGCAGACGGTGTTTGATCCACAGGAACAAGACGATGGATCCAGGGAGGGGCAGAGGCCTTCTTCACCTGGAAGTCACTGTCTGACCCTGGCCAAGGCAAACCAGGATCTGATAGGTCAATGTCCACCTTTGACTTCAGGGAGCACTTCCCTTCCTGCTTCAACTGACACTTCATAGGCGTTCGCTTCATCAGAGCCCTCTTCTTCGACTTATCTTGTTTAAGCTTTTTCTAAACCACACAACACATTATATGGTTTAACTGCACACACTCGCTTCACAAGTTACACACTTTTTCCTTGAAAGGTAACATGTTTTTCACCTTGTTTTCCACAGATGTGTTCATCGCAGCAGAAGGGAGGAGAATCAGTTCCTTGACTGCCACTAGAGGAGACCTATCACTGTGGTCAAAAAGATAAGTGGGTAGAGCAGGCAAGTGTAGTGGGGGACTAAAAATGATTTTAATCATTAAAAACATTAAATCACAAGAGGTGACATGCACATTCAAACTAAAAGATAAAGTACAAAACAAAGGTTTGTACAAACAGATAATACACTATGATTCTGTCTGTCAGATTAGACCCTACTGTACTGTATGTTGATGCATTGTGTCTTGTTTTATATCATGCTATGTCATGTTATGTCAAAATACACTTTAATTTGTCATGTTATGTATTTCTTCTATTACATACTGTACATGATGTTGTCGCATATGGGGCGCCATTTGTAAAAATAGCACTTTCAATAGTTTTCTCACATTTAGCTAAATGTGACAAAGTCTAAATGTAAATGTTAAATATAAATGTAAATGTTAAATGTAAATGTAAATGTGGTGCACGGATGTGTCGTTCAGCCTCCCAACAGCAGGTGTGTGAGCACAGAGGCCACAGACAATGAGCTTCAGCAGTGGTGGGACTGGATGGGCTGCCCATGTTTCAGCTGACAGAGGGAGGCCACAGCAACACTTGTCATTTAGACAGAGAAGGATGCAGAACACCTGTGAGCAATGGAAGAGATGAATATTTAAAATCTGTAAACTGATAACCTCATCTGATTCATGTACAGAAATAGATATTAAAATGTGATTAATAAGAGTAGGTCATTGTGTGTGTGAGAATACACACCAAAATGGACTACCAGTTATTTATGTGCCTCATTTTTCCAGTAAGTAAGGACAAATATTTTCAGCACAAAACCCACAGGTGTAATCATCATCAGTGAAATGTGTGCAGCTATGGAGTAGAAAACAAACCAAAGTGACTGAGATTTTATGAGTTCAACATAAGAAGTTGTTCTGGGGCCTACAACAATAGCTTCCAGTTGGCTACCAAAGACAGCAGGTCCTTAAGGGGTATGAAGGATATCGTTCACCCCCCCATGAGCGCAAAGGACCGCTGGTACTTGATGGTTGATGACAGCCACAAATGCAATGGCTGATTTATGCCCTAATGGAAAGGTTTTCAAACAATGTGTTTTACTTTTACAAGAGAAAAAAGGCTTTAAAAGATGATGACTAACTGGCTGGTTTTGCAAATGAACCTGCAATGGCATTAAAAAGCAGCACTTGCCTGTTCAGGACTCTCTCCCAGAAAGGAGGATGAGACAGTCAAGAGCAGGCTATTGGGTGCCTTTTCTATTCAGTTATAACATTGCCTAATGCCTTTACACACATATGACTACTCTCAAAAAGGGGAAGATTCTGAGATAATTAGGATTTTGAAATTAGCTGCCTCCTACCTTCCTGCAGTCAAATGTTTCACCACAGTCTGTCTCTCTGCTGTTTGTATGCTACTAAAGTTCATGGTTGGAGCTTATGTTGCTTAGCAACAGTATAACTTTGCTAGGGTCTCAAGCACCCCCTGGTGGTCTCTGGCTGTCATCACCAAAATTAATTATTAGTGTGGATACTGCTGACTCAGCATTATTGTTATCCAAATCTTTATCTATTCTTATTCTTCTGGAAGTTTTTTGCCGCTGAATAACTTCAGCATACCTTCACCTAGAAATACTATTCAAATACCAAAATGTTCCACTTTTTTTCAGCATTTTTTATAATAAAAGTCAATGGGAGAATCTTCAAATCTTCCTCCTCTTTCAGCCTTAATACCTTCAGCATACCTTCAGTTAGAAAATCCATTCAACCTTCAAACAAGTCAGGAAAAGCTCAGCTTTTTGATCTTGTGTCAGATGTGTGTCAGAGAGAGAGAGAGAGATGCAATGTGTATCATTTCAGTCATGAGCAATGACTTGGATGACACAACTGTATGATAATCATTTAACTGATTACCTGCATTGATCTCGTTGACAGAACATGTCTACAGCTCTACAAATACTGTGTGTTATTGCAAGTTCCCTTTATTTCATCCATATGATGAACATGATGATCGGTTTAAGAGTGGCCATTAGTAAGTACTGAAACTACCAAAGCAAAGCACCTCAGTGTACTGTTTGATCATGCAACCATTAGTCATTGGATTTTTTCACATACCTCCACCACTTCCAACACCAAGAACATCCAGACTGCTTTTATCTGCTCCAATTCTGCATCAACACACGACAACAAAAATAAATTTAAAGAAATGACAAGTGGAAATATTGAAAATAAACTCTGAATTACCCACCAGCACATAATAACTGTACTGTATCTATCTGTAAAAGATTACTGTCCAGATTTTGTGTGTGAGAAGCTAAATTAGTATTTACAGTTAATATCTTTTGAGACATCTGTTTTATATATAATATGTATTTATTTAACCCATGTATGGCAAAACATAACTACAACTATGGACATATAGAAAGCACATATTGCTTCTGCAACAGTATGGAGACAATAATTTACAGTCATTATATGAGTCGCAGGGATTTTTCCACAGATGTGGATGGTATTATTAAGAACCACTAAGAACAGACTTTATAATCTAAAGATGTACTTTATGTGCACTTAAATCTCTTTGTGTAGTACTGTGCTCCCTGGCCATGCCACTGACAAGTGTATTATCAGGTATGCTTGAATATGGACAATGTACATAAGCACAGAAACTGTATTTTGGCACTATGACCATGTTACCAACTTACAGCTTTGTGGCTGTGTGAAATCACTGGCAATTTCATCACCAAAAATTCAACTTTTAAGAGAAGTCATAGTTGAGACCTCATTCAATGACCAAAATGATTTTGTTCTTTCAAAGCACATTCACACACAGACACAAACAAACAAACAGAAGGTATGAAGGCACCCATAACTGCTCTGCTAAGTCTGTGTAAGTAGTAAAAATTGCTAAAGGATTTTAAGTGCAGTGTAGTACTCTTAGTATTTCTTGTTGTACCTTTTAAATACTCCTGGCGGAATGGCCTTGTGCTTTCCTGAGTGTCTGAGGTAGAACTGACAGCTCTGGACAGAACTGCCCTCATAAAAGCTCTACTTTGTTTGAGTGGCAATGATTAATCCCTGCAGTGCATTACACATAGCATACATGCATCATACAATGAAAAACATAGGGTCATACATAATGAAGCTAAGTGATCATAAAAGTATTTTAATATTTACCTTGAATATGTGGGAACTAAAGACACAGACAGGATTTCCCTCAGTCTTCTGAGTTGCAGAGCTGCTCTCCCCTCCCATAGACTGGCTGACCCCCTTCATATGGATGTTCTCATGATGATCTTCGCCTGAACTTTGTTTGTACATTAGAGTGAAGTACAGTTGTGCTGCTTCCTCTTCATGAACTCTCATAGCTATTAATGAGTCCTATCACTTCTTTACATGAATGCAACAAAACAAATGATTAACAGTTAAACTTAAAGTAAATTATATTATCTCAAAAAGTCAAGCAAGTAAAATAGTCCTAAAATGTTTACAAAGTGGGACCATCCATACATTTTAAAATACCTCCAATCTGCCCTGTTCCATATTTAGTCTTGCTTGGATGCCACAATTTCTGATATACTTGTTACTAAAACCAAAGATCATATTACCAGAGCAATGGAAAAAATTTGCCTTCTAATGAAATGTGTGGAACATAAATCTATGGTGACAGAGGGACCTATTAATCATAAAAGAATCATTGGCTACTAAAATACAAGTCTGAAGTGTACATTGCTTTGATATTTGATGTGCCCAAAGAGTGCTGCAGTTCTCTAGACAGTTTGATTTTCAATATTAACATGGTTATGAGTTGTCATTGTCTCATTGATTGGTGGTTGAACATCAGGAAGACCGATCTTATGTAATGTGAGCCTGTCATGGGGAGATGCTGATTAAAAAAAAAAAAGAGCAAGAAAATACCAACATGAGAAAGTCTGGTACTGCAGAGCAGGGGAAAACGATTGGTTGAGACCAATGGGCAATGATTGATGACGCTCATCCCTGAAGTAGCTTGGTTTTTAGTTTGTTTGTGTTTGTATGTTGACATTTTATTTTGAACTGTCAGTACCTCAGTACTCGTGTATGGCTGACTTTGCTTAGATTGATTTTGTTTCTACTACTGTAAATTACATTCACACCTAGGAGTAGAACCTCTGTCAGCTTGTGAACGAATTCACTGGATCATGTGAGTGCTAACTGCCATTCTCATTCATTTTTCCACTGCACACTTCATGAACTGACCTGCGGGACTGAACCAGAATTTTCTGTTGCAAACTTTTATCTTTTACCTATGAGGGCAGTGAAGACATGGAAGTCACATCAGAGTTTTACTTTGAATGGAGTTGCAGATACGATAAAGGCACTGATTCTATAGTTCTTTACAGTCTTAGGTTCATGAATGAGGTACACTAGTCATCCACTTTCTCTTAGAAAGGGGAACTTTTACATTTTGGCTTCATCTTCAGTGCTTGTTGTCAGTGTAGTGCAATCAAAAACAACCTTTAAAAAAACAAGTAAACCAATAGGATTAGCTGCAGCCATAGATAATGCATTTGATTGCAGATACCTCTGCATATGGTTGTACAGTTAACGTGTATACAGATAGTGGAGGTGGTTCAGTTACTGATGCTGCCCTCACGATGGTGCCAACACCTTAGCTGTATTGTCAACATTCATTCTGGCTGATGACAAACACTAAGAGCAGCTGTTACTGTTGTGCCCGTGTTGGGCCAATGAATATATCAGTATTCACATACTGTACCACTGGCACGGGTCCTTGAGCTGAAAAGGTCATAGTCTTTTGGAGTATAATGACATTTAAACCCTGTAGACTTATCACGGTATGTATAAACACCATAGTGTGTAAGATTTGCATCTTTAAGTCATATGAGAGCCCCATGATCAGTGACAATGCTGGGTACCTCAAAAACACTGATCTGAATGGACAATAATGGTATAAAAGAAATATAAACCTCATCAACTCCACTGTGTGGTCATAAACATTGCACTTGACTTCTAGTCAAATTTGCAAGGAAATTTCACAACAGATGTATGTAAAATAGAAAGTTCAATGTAAGCATGTCCTAATTTTGTTTATTCAAACTCTGATATAAAGATGACATGCAATGTATAACAGTGAATAGCAAAATGACACAATCCAGAATCTCTCATGAGAGTATTCAGTTTACAGTATCTAAAATGAACAGCTCATTCACTGTGAAAAATTAAATGTTCAATTTCCTATTTACTTTTATATTTCCAAAGTAACATGATTGAATGAGAGCAGCAGTGTAAAGGGGTTGGCAGCACAGCCCACCAACTACAGCCCATTAAAACGTAAATTATGTTCGAAACTAGGCAGATTCAAATGCTGATCTTTACATTTGTTGGGAAATTTAAGTAGCTCATGACATCAAAACAAAATAGTTTTAAAAAAAATTACAATCAAGCTCTTTTAAATTTTTACAAGGATATATAGTTAACAACTACAGAGCTTGAGACATTCCTTTTACACCCTCTACAGCTCCTCCTTGCTTGCTTCATCCAACCTTTCTCTCTGACTTACTTAGGGATATACTATTATTTCATTGATCATACAGGTTTCTATATTGACCAGTATTTCTATATTGCTGTTAAGACCGTCATCCTTGCTCAGCCTGGGCAGCTGTCCAAGCAATAACTGATAAGCTTTTTCTCTCTTTTGCTACTGGGGTCATCTCATGGTCAACTTTCTCACATCCAATTGCGATAGCAGCTTATAGCTCTGGTAGCTGACTCCCTTGGAGTCCAGGAACCTTTTGATGTCTCCAATGGTAAGATACTCAGATAGTTCTTTGTTACAAAGCTGGTTTTTGTAAGTATGCCACAGCTTCCCCAAGCCACTCTCATCTAGAAGACAAGACAAAAAAAACCAAGATAAAGGTTCTATAGCCATGCTAGCAGCTCTGTGAGACTAGGCACAGCTGGAGTTTCATATAGCTGCTAACACTAGTATGTTCACATGCAATGATAGTGTTATCATGTAGATGTTCAGGGGGTTAACTACTATTGCTAATAAGCTGTTGTTACTAAACATGCAAAAACTTTGGCCAGCCGGTGGGGTGGTGCTGGAGGAAAAGTTAGAGGATCACCACTGTCCATAGGATTCATCCTCTGTGGACCAGGATTGTCTTTGCCAAATTTTATAAAATCCATTTAATAATTGTTGATATATTTCAGTCTGTAACAAAGTGGTGAACCAACTGAATGACAGACCAACATTACCATGATGCTCTTATGCCAAAGCCACATCAACAGAGAGGCTGTCATTACTGAAATAAGGTGTAGCAGTGTAGTAATGCATTTCCACCTTACTCCATGTGGCATGTGTACAGTATATAAAGTACCAGAATGCTACTAACCACAATAACACTGATAATCACAGTTTTAGTGTTTTCTTTTCTGAGATAAAATGCTAAACTGGTTTTATCTGTATATGTAAAGTGTGTTTAAGCAATACAGTAGGTAAGCAAGCAAGCAAGCAAAGTTTATTTATATAGCACCTTTCTAAACCTGCGTTACAAGGTGCTTTCCAGTAAAACATAAACAAATAATAATAATAATAAAAATACCTAAGACCAGATAAAACACATCAATACAGTAAAATAACAAGAA